ATTTTATGAATTTCTCTGCACCCTTCCAATCAGTTCCTTTTCTGATTAGATTAGCCAGATTGATTTTAATTGCTTATAGCTGAAGGTTCCTAACTTATATATAGATGATGAAGGAAATAAAAAGGAGAAACAAGATTTTTCTTATGGCAGATTTAACTATCAGATAGAGTCCTCTGTTTACTCACTTCTGTGAAAGAGGTATATTTTCCCCACTCCATTAATACTGAACTTGGCCATGTGATTGTCTTTGGCTTCAGAGTAGGCAGGGAATACTTCCCCACCCCTTGATTTTGAGTTTAGAATATGATTTGCTTTGGTTAATGGAATATTAGCAGGCATGATTCAACAAAGCCTGGAAATGCTCTTGCATGGGAGGTCCTGGGCTCTTGCATTCTGCTGTTGTCATGAAAAGAACATCCGCAGATTAGTCCAGAGGTTCCAGAATGAGGATGAGAGACACATGGTGCAGAGCCACCCAGCCGAGCTGCCCCAGCCTAGATCAGCAGATCCCCAGCCAATCCAGACATGTGAGCTGAATAAACGTTTATTACTGCATACCACGGAGACTTCATAGTTGTTTGTTGTGCAACATTTTTGTAGCAATAGCAAACCTATGCAGGGGTTTGTATTAATAAATGCTGTGACAGCTGTAAGAAAAACCTGAAATACGTGGGACTGTGTGGTGAGTGTAGGTTGGAAAAATGTTGAAGAAACTATCATAAAATTCTGAAGAAGTGGTGACTTATGAAGCATTTGGTATAAGGATCTTTTGTGGTAAACTAGAAGATAGAAATGTAACCAGTGAACTTCTGGACTTGGGCAAGATGGTTTCTATTAGAATGCTGATGTATTAGCTGGCTTCTTTTAGTTGCATATGATGAGCTTGGAAAATAACAGGCTGGTTTTTTAGAATTAGAAATTTAGAAATAGAATTTGGAATAGAGGGACTAGAGAGAACCCAGAATCTTCCAGTGTAGGGAAAAATGAGTTTCTCAACTATCTTTCCATTCAGTAAGAGATTCTTAAATGAAGACATAACCTGAGAGTGTGGGTAAAGCACAGGCACCCCACCAAGGTGGGGCCTTTTACTGCAGCCTTTGCTCTGAGGATTAAAGATCAGAAGTAAATGTTGGGCTGTAATACCATTAAAAAAAAACCTTGAAAGCTGTCAAATGGTGACACCAACACATTTCCAGCTGTGTCTTAGAGAGCTTCCGAGTGTGTCCTAGAGCAGCCCCGATATATATATATATATCAGTGCCAGTAATTAAGTCTAGAGAGAAAGGCATGTTTTGAAAATAATCGTTGGTGTGGCTTGTAGAATACAAAATAGACTGTAATAATTAATGATATGCAAGTACAGCTGATGTTTGTTCATTTAAAAAATAGTTAAAATTCTAAACAAAGAACATTTTCTTTTATATACTCAAAATGTCTAAGCGACTAAAACCTAGATATCTACCATGTGAAAACAGGCCCTGAGACAATGCACAATAAAGAAATAGAAATTCTAATAATGTGGTATGTAAATGAGAATGAAATGTCCTATATTTCCCTTTCCTGCCAGACATGCATTGAGATTATTGCCTCCATTAGTGAACTATGAACGCACAAAGGTTTATAACAATGAAAGGCGAGTAACAGTAATGCAGGGAGAATTCACAAGGCATATGATAAATATCAGGCAATAAATTCAGAGCAGGAAGTTCAGAATTAGAGACAGATGAAATAACAACACTTCTAGTGGAAGCTTGGAGACTGAAGAGACAGTATTGAAAAACAAGCCCCAAATTAAAGTTGTCTAAAAATGGGTCTGTTATGCCTTGGCTTTTCTTTAGTTTCATAACTTTTGTTCCCAAACCACCAAAATTGATGAAGTTAAAAATGGGATTGATGTGCTAATGTTATTAAAAAAAACCCCAATAATTTTAACAATGAGAGAGGTTAATTTGCCCTTTCTTGTCTTTTATCAGTAAAAATTAGGACCAGCAATCCAAAACCTTTGAACTATGATATAGTTCAACACACGTGGCCCATTTTCAGTTGTGATAAAGACCTTTTTATCCTCAATTTTGTAGAACTCTCGATTTTCTTTAGTTGGATCCTTTGCTTCGTCAAAGTTCCTCATAGACCAAGTAAGATGAAGACTTGGAATTAACCATTCCTGGCTTTATTTTTCTGCTGGTTTCCTGGTAACACAAAAATAATATATTTATACCTCTCTTTTTTCATCAAATATATCAGTACTGATCTCTGCTCTTACAGGTGAAAGAATTGTTTTACTTATTCCCACGCTTTTACCCCTTGCTTTATAAGTCATGTTCTATTTAGCTTATGATAACCTAGGTACCTCTGCTTTGTGTTAGCCTGTTCAGGCTGCTATAACAAAATACCATAGATGAGTGGTTTACATACAACTGAAATTTATTTCTTACAGTTCTGGAGGCTGGAAAGTCTCAGATCAGGGTATTACTGTGGTCAAATTCCAGTAAAGATCCTCTTCTGGGCGGCAGACTGCTGATTTCTTATATCCTCACATAATGGAAAGAGAAGAGAGAGTCCTCTGAGGGCTCCTTTATAAGGGCACTAATCCCATTCCTGAGGGCTCCACCCTCATGACCTAACCACCTCCTAAATGTCCCTCCTCCAAATACCATCACCTTAATCAGTAGGTTTTCAACATATGACCTTTGGGGGAACATAAACATTCAGGCCATTGTATACTTATATCTCTATGTTTGATTCCTCAATTGTAGGTGGTATTTCTTTGACTCTCCAGTACAGTGGCTGAGGAAGTCAGCCCCCTATACGTCAGTCAGCCTTTTCTCTTCCAACTGACTGCTGGCTCTGGTAGTTCTCTTTCCTTTTATACTATTCAGGCTTTTATCATTTATTTTCTGTTGTGTAAATGTGATGAAGCTCATACTTTACCTATGTCTATAGGTTGATTATAAAAATGTAAAAACAATAAGTATAAATTATGATGTTATACTAAGTCCCTATTGAATTAGGTATTATGATTGCTAATTGGTCCATTAGATTAAAAAGCCTGTTTACTTTGGGGAATCATAAAAATGGTATTTACCTTAAATAATATGTTTTAACGGAAAACACTTAAATGTTTAAATATGCTTATTTGTCCATATTCTAATGTAAGGTTAGGACATTTTCTTTGAGATTGTTAATAATCTATAAGAGATTTGTAATATTTGAATCTTAACATCTCTTGGAAACAGGCTGTGCTGAGAACAATATATTTTAGGGCACTATAATGTCAGATTCCATGAATGAATAATATTGTCCAATAACTGACCTATTAAAGGGTATGAATAGAAAGTTTTTCTGAAAAATTCCTTTTGATGTATAATTATTGCATTTCTAGAGTAGGCATTGTGTTAGCAACATTAGTGTTGATTGAGATACGCATACATGAATAAAGTTATTGCTTTTATGCTACAAAAATATTCTTTCTTGGCATTATTCAGTGGCAAAGCAATAATAAAATGATAAATAATACTAAAATAACAAAACCCAAATTATCTGCAAAATAATTGCAGTTTCTATGTATACCTTCCCCTGCATGCGTTAGTTCTATATTGATTGGCCTTCTACAGCATGCCTCCCTGTGCTAGTACAAGTCCCTTCCCCTGAATTCCCATCTGAAAGGTGAAGAAACTGTTTAACAAATGGTAAATTGAGGCTTTGTATTACTCCAACAGGTTTGGGGGTAGATTCTAAGTTTTGCAACTTTGATGTTTTGAGCTGTTTTCAAATATTCTCGTGTCAACGTGGTTTACTTTTCATTGCTGGGATCAAAGTAATGATACTCGACGAGAACATTTTTCAGTCATTAAGTACTACTCTTAGGACAGAAAATAAATTCCCAAATCCTTTGGGAGTTTTGTTATTTATGGGTGGTAACCTGGTGTAACCAGTAGTTTGCAAGTACTTTTTTTGTATATAAAAGCACTTGTGTTCCTAACCTGGAGGTAGACTTTGTTAGCAGTTTCTCCTACTTGCCTCTAGTCTTTCCGTTTTTTATTAACGAAATAAAATGGCTCCAGTTCTTTTTAATCCAATTCTACACGTATATACACTAAGAACAAAGAACCATTTTGACAGCGTAGAGTTTTAAGAAAGCGAGATACAGTTTAAACAAACAGTGAGGCCAGGACATCTATTGCCAGAGGAGCAGCATAGCCTGGGTGATGTATTCCAGACAGCCCCACGGCATAAAGCTTTAATCCCACTGCCTTTCATGTGACATTTATATATAAAAACTGTTTATAGAGCCATGAAACCTTTCCTTGTGTTCATCTGGGTTTATCAGGGCTGCCGATGCTTCAGTTTTCTACAATGGGACTGCTCATAATATGTCAGCAAATATTGTCAAGGCATTTTGCTTGAGGTCTTTGTTTGCACCCTCACCAGAACCAAATAAGGGTTGACGTATCAGTTACAAAACAAGGTTAATGGCAAGAAGACAGTGAAGCTCACACAGCTGTACTGGCAGACTGCGGTGTCTAAGCATAGGTGTTTTGTTTTGCATCAGTCAGAAGGGAGGACTTTATTTTTCATAGCAGCTATATGTTGTGATTTAATTAATCTTCACAGAAAATCGAGGTTGGATAGATTTGATTTCATTTAAGTAAAAGAAAATTGGTTCAAGAATAGATACATTGGCATGATCTAATAGAAAATAAGCTATCCAAGTTAGGAAAGAGAATATGTTTTAGCACATCTGGGAAAAGGCCATTGGGAATGATTTTCCCATTTATTGAGTAAATTAGAAAACCAGTTTATGGAGATATTCAGCAAACTGTTTGACACTCCTGATTGCAAATGATGAAAACCCAACACGAGCTAGATTTTATAGAAAGGATAATCGACTGACAAAGGTAACTTGAGAGGCCGAGGTGTACTTGACTTGGGGTGTAGGTGGCTCTGGGTCTCTAAGATACACTCCTTTCTGCTTGGCTTCCCTCTTGTCCTTTTCTCAGGAGGTGGCGTGCTAGCCCCTTGGTGTTCCAGATGCCTGTGACCTTCAGTGTTCACGGTTATAGAGTAAGAGCAGCTGCCTCTCACAACAAGAATCCTGGAACATTATGACTGGCTCAGCTTGGGAAAAGGGCCCATTCCTGATTTAATCACTGCACCCAGAGAGATGGGGGTGGCTCTGTGGGTCACCTCGCCTAAGCCATCCACTCCTTCAGCAGGAAGATGGTATCATTCCACCTGCACTACAAGGTCTCAGGAGGCTTCCATGGAATGGTGGGGGGGTCAGTCCCCCGAAGAAGGGGTGCTGGACAGACTAGAAAAATCATACCTGCTACAGCTAGTCATTGACAGAAGTGGATCAGGAGGTATGTACCCAACTCCATGTTTATTTCTGCTAGTTGGTTCTTAGTTTCCTCTGTCTGCCTAATCAGTGTTTCTAATCTAGAGATGCTGGATATATGGGGAAGGGTGTAAAAATCAGTGTATGCATCTGTGCTGGGGTTTGGAAGGCTAAGGGTTAACAAGGGAGTGTGCCGAAGATGCTAAGGAGCTGTGTCTTTACTAGAAAGCTCATAAATGGATCATAGACCAAAAATATTGAGAAACTTTGTCTCTACATAATGCTGTCTTCTCAAGGTGCTTCCATGTGAATTACTGTACAGGTCAGCAGTAATCTGGACTTAAAGAAAATGGCCGATGGGCAAACTGAAAAATGCGCATTTGGGATAAGGAACTAACGTCTGGAGTTTCATCTGAACCTTTGAAGTGTAAAGGAGGACAAATTATAAAGCAAAACAAAACAAAAACACTGGTTTGTGTTTTCATGAGAAAAAAAGAGGCCTCCTGAGATGCGTATCTCTTTTGCTGACAGTCCCAGCTGGAATAAGGAAATTTAACAAGTGCATTTTAACAAGTGAAAACTTTTTTTTCGTTTTCTGGAAACTTGTAAACCTCAAAAACAATTCTGTTATTATCTTCTCCATTTTTATTCAGTCAGGTCTACTTAAAAGTCCTTGTACTTTAGTCGAGTTAAGCGGTAAGAACAAAGGCTGTAGTGGGAAATTGTCTGTTGCAATGTATTAAAGAGCTAATACATGAATGCATTTCACTTGGGCATAGCCCCATCACAGTCCATGTGAGGGAATAGAAGCAATAAGATGTTTTGTTTTTTAAATCAGCCATCATTAAATTTTTCTAGCATGTTTCGCTTTGTCCTAGATCAGTGGTTCTCCAGCTGTACCACGCACCAGATTCACGTGGAAGGCTTGTTAAAACCCAGGTGGCTCAGTCTCCTCGCCAGTTTCTGATTCAGCAGGTCTATGGTGGGCCCAAATGTGTGCGATTCTTGCCAGTTTCCATGTGATGTTGATGCTGCCCATCTTGGGCCGCACTTGGAGAACCACTCATCTTGGTGAATCTCTGCGCTCAGCTCTGGATGAGTCTTCATGAGCCACAGATCCAGCCGAGAGGTGGGTTGAGGCTGCCCTGCGGGGTACCAGTAACCAGATTTTCTAGCAGTAGGGATAGTCTGAATTCCAGGAGGGGAGGTTATGGGTGAACGCAGGACTCCAGCTCATACGTGGGTAAAACAGCTGGGTCTGCATCCTTGGGAAGATGTCCTAAGCAGTTATTAGGCAGGTTGTTCGAGCTCTCACTGAGTGCCCTAGACTTTAAGAACAGGTTTGCAGGACTAGCTAGGAATTTGAGGGCCAATTAGGAGTGAAACCTACTTGAAGAACTTGGCGTGTGATGAGGTCCCAGGAAAGACGGAAGCTCTGTGGATTCCCAGGAAGCTTACCTTGACTAGGCTGAAGGCAGCAATTCTATTCCCATGCGTGGAGGAGGCTGGTGCGGAGCAAACACTGAGCCAAGACAAACTCAGGATGCAGGCCTAACTATAGCTAAAAGTGGCCTGTTCAGTGCCCATCATGATCGGGATGAGGGCAGGTGGGGTCTATCTGGAAAACTAGTTTGTTTCTCAAACATTTTTTGACCTTGGTGTGTACTAAGGAATACCAAATATATTATAGAATGATATATAAGCCAGTTTCCCAGAATATTATTTTCCTTACTCTGTGCAATATACTCTATTCTGTTTTGTTCTATTTATTCTGTGACATCCTATTATTTCATGAGAACAGCGAAAACCTTTTGCTATATTTTGCCATAATTTATTTTATGATCCTCAAATGGGCAGAGACCTGTAGTTTGAAAATATCCCCTGAGAACTCGCTGCAGTCTTGCCGTCCATCTCCCTGACATACGGCTGGCTCTTCCATCACCCATGTAGCAGTGAGCGCATCAGAACCAGTGCTGAATTTCCACTGACGAGGCCAAGCCCTTCCTGCTTCACCCCACCTGTACTCCACCTTCCACTTCTTGGGTGCCCTCTTCCTGGGCAGCACCCTCCGTTGCAGAACTCCGTGGCTGATTGGATGCTGTGCCTTGCAGTTTTTGATTTTGACCCCTTTTGACATCCCTTATGACCTCGTGGAAGAGATTTTTTCCTTCAGGCTTCTAGAAACCCATCAGCTAGGCTAACCCTCCTTCCTCCACCACTGGGGTTAGACCCAGACCAGGAAGCAGGTCACATCTTCTAGTCCTGTTTCCCTCTACTGTGATATATACCAACCTGATTCCTCTCACAGAAAATCAGCTTTATCTTCCTTTCTCCTTTGATTTCTCTTCTTTTTAGTTAAATGTCTGGATAACAATTTTTAAAAAGCCCTCATTTGTGTTAGAAATAACAGCTAAATAAATTAAAATAACTGCAGGTAAATTCCAGTTGATAAGTAAACAGACCATACTGGTGTGAGAAATGAAGTCATGGTACAATTTAATAATAAATCGTTTCCAGTATCTAGGAATAGCTGTAATGTGGAAAACATGGATGTTAACCAATCTGTCAACTAATTGACAAAACAAAATTCCCATCAACCCAAGTTTTTGAAGAAGCAAAAGCCTTAGGTAAAGCCATATATAAGCATAACCAGACTAGATGTTGTGTTAATAAGTCACATTTAAAAAGCACAAGCTTGTGTGTTTCTATCACAGTAATAAAACAAAGGGTTAGATAACTGAAACAAGGATACCTATTTTTGTACCACCAAACCAATCATCGTCCAAAATTTTCTAATATTTTAATGCTTTAAAGAATATTGTGACTTGTTAACTGGTATAAAACCACTATGGAAAAAAGTATGGAGAGTCATAAAAAAATTAAAAAAAGAACTACTCTATGACCTTGCAATCCCACTTCTGGGTATATAGCCAAAGGAAATGAAATCACTGTCACAAAGAGAGATCTGTATGCCCATGTTCATCGCAGAATTATTCACAACAGCCAATACACGAAAACAACCTAAGTATCCACTGATAGATGAATGGATAAAGAAAATGTCATATATACAACACATGTTAAATATTATATATGTTAAACATGTTACATACATTCACAAATATAAATATATTATATATCTACAATATTATTTATTATAATATATATAAGGAATATGATATAGCCATAAGAAGATGGAAATCCTGCCATTTGTGACAATATGGGTGGACCCTGAGGGCATTAGGCTAAGTGAAGTAAGTCATACAGAGAAAGACAAAAGCTATATGATCTTATACATGGGATCTGCAAAAAAAGCCAAACTCATAGAAACAGAGAGTAGCATGGTGTTGCCAGGGACTGGAGGTTGCGGGAGATGGGAAGATGTTGGTTAAGAGAGTAAATCTTAAATGTTCTCATCACACACACACAGAAAGGTAATTATGTGAGATGGTGAGGGGTTAACTAACCTTATTGTGGTAACAATTTCATAATATATATATGTATCCGATCATTAAATATACACCTTAAATTTACAGAATGTTACATGTTAATTATACTTCAATAAAGCTGGAACAGAAGTATTGTCACAGTGGCCAAGAAATGTCTTAGACTGTGCCCTTCATTTCAATCCAAGATGGAACTTCCTTGAGTAGGATGATTAACCTCTTAAAACAGCTGTTTTTAGAAATGGCAACGTGCAAGAATCACCCTGGGAAATGGACATTCTGGTTCATTCCTCCTGGGAGGGAAGGGGAAGGAATCTGCATTTTTAGTACCACTGTTTCCTCCCTGTGTGTCACCTCTGCCAGAGCCCCCACTGCAGGTGACTTTAATGCAGATGACTCACAACGGCCACACTCTGAAAGTGTTGTTATGAGATGAAATTGTTCATTTCAAGGGGTCTCTGAGCCTCTTCCGCAGATGCCCATGTCAGTGACTTGACAGTTGACAGAATTGTGAAGTTATTTTTTTAAAATTTCTTCTCCCATTCAATTAGTGGTCAATTTCTAGAGCCTTCCATGTGACTGTTCTTAAACTCTGGCAGGATGTCTCAGAGCAAGTCCTCCAAGTTCCAAAGGCAGCAAGGCTGTGAGAGCACAGCAATCAGAGGAGAGGCCCGTGACTGGAGACGCCCACAGGCTTACCTGGCATTCAGCCTCCTTCCAAAGCAGCCGTGACGGTGCCCACCTGCTCCCTCACAAGCATTTCTTATCCTTGGGAAGGTCCAGAAAACTTTACAATTCGAAATCTGAGATGACGATCAGAAAGCAAAATTTACCTTGTGAAATTCAAGACAAAAAGAAAAATAAAGGGAGCCATGAGGTCATTTCTAGTCAGATATACTGAAGAGGATTTAAACAAAACAGTAATCTTAAAAAAATTTACAGCTGTAAAACATACCAAATGAAAGAAATTTGATTTTTAAGAGCTTGCTGACCTATAGTCTGGCTTGTTCTCAGAGACCTAGAATTTACCAGGCAATAAAGTCATTTTATACATCTCTGCTTGAGTTTCTTATCTGTGGATGGGACGCAAAGGCTATTTGCTCTTAAAGTGACACAGGAGGATTTCATACGAAATTAGTAGGCAAAACTATGCTTTTCAAAATGAAATATCCTTGTGATTCTTTTGTGTAAATGACAGAATTTCCTTCCAGCTAATTAGTACTTTCACTCAGCAAGAGAGAATCTTTTTTGTCATGCCATTAAAAATGACAATATCAGCACCTTACTTAATAAAAAAACAAAAAGGATTTCCCAGAAGCCCCTGAGTGCTGCGAGAATCAAGTTCTTTTCAGATCGAAGTGATTTATTCACTGACAATTCACCTAGAGACCTTTTTCTCCAACTGCTGAAGGTCTGGCAAGGAAGAATCTTGAGTGACATGCTCAACAGAAGATAACTTGGAAGGTCCTCTTAGTTCCCCTTTGGTATCCAACAAGGGGACAAAGTTAGAAATTAGGAAACATTTGGCTGGCTTCTTATCAAAAAAAGAGATGTTGAATCACATCTAGTATTACAGGCAGCTTTGCTCAATACAGCAGCTGCCGGGGAGCTGACTTGAGCCCTTTTCTGTTTAAGCAGACCTAGTTTTTTGCATGTCTTCTTCAGATGAATCTAACTTCTCAGGCTGAGAAGATATGTGTGAGCCATTCTGGAGAGAATGCACATTTATTTTCCTCCCTTTTAATGTTTGAACATGATCACAGTCACTATATGGGTCAGAAAAACAATGACAGTATGGTATAAATCTTCAGAGGGTTTATCAATCTGACAGAATGGAGAAGATAAAGTGGATTTTGCTAGAAATCCAATAAACTCTCTCTACCTCAAAGAATAATAAGGGTTTATGCCACTTTTCTCCTTTATTATCATCTCTCCAGTTTGCATTTTATTCTCTTTTCTGTTCACTTCCTACATATTATAAGGCTTGCTTTATTTTCTAAAGATGTTAGGTGAACCTCAGTTCTTCTGGCCTAATCAATCAAAGACATTGGAGACTGCAGGCTGGCAATGGAAATAGTCAGGGCTTAACGCTCGCAGGCCAGAGTTTGAACACAGGCTCTTCTACCCACTGGGTGGTCCTTGAGCCTCAGTTTCCTTGGATAAAAATTGAGGCTGACCTTTTCAGTGGTTGTGAGCATTAAAGATTATGGATTTGAAGCCCCCGGTGTGATTTTATTACCTTGGACACCAAATGTTAGATTTGTCAGTCAGAAGTTCATTTTCTTTAAGAAAGGAGGGACTGTTACCATGAGGAGAGAAACTTCTTTGCCAAAGACCTTTCATAGCACCCTAGAACTAAATCCTATTCTTTCATTGCACAGTGGCCCTGACTCTAGGAAGAGTACGTCTAGCTCAGTGATTTTCTCTGTGCATTGAAATGTTAATTTATGGTCATGTACTCATCAGAAAATTGCAAGTCACTGCTCTACATGCAGCAATAGGCAAAATCGAACTCCAGGACTCTGTTTCACTCTAGTGTGATGCTTCGGAGGTCTGCATTTAAAAACAGTAAATGCTTAGGCCTACCAGATAGGTTCTGTTGGCAGTTAGCAGGGTTGCTGGTGACCTTGCTCCCCACAGTGACTAGCAGATGGACATTAGCAGAGCTACCCGCTGAAGACACCTAAGGTTAAAATGCCTTCGCTTGAGCTCCTGAATGTCATACTGCTGAGATGGAAGAGTTCTGTTAGGTCATTGTGCTTTAGGGTTATTTTTCACCGGAGAAAATAGACATTGTTCTTACAAGGACATAAAA